AATTCTGATGCACCAACCTGAATTTTATTTTAATCTGTGTGATATATGTGTAAGCTTCTGTAAAAATACAATCTATAATTTTATAAATGGTCTAAAATTCATTTATTAAAAGAAAGCTTTAGCTCTTTAATAGGGGTTATAAAGCATTGAATAAAATCAGAAGTAATAATAGTGTTATTTGGAATGCAGACACTTTATAAAAATCAGTGGTTGATCATAATGGGCTAACTGATGTTATTTGACTTTCATTATATCAGTTTTCACTGGAGATTAAAAAAAATTGTTTCCAAATTACTACAAATTCTTTATATATTCTGTATGATTTACTATGTTTTTTTTCTATGAGAAGATATGAAAAGTTATGGTAAATGCTGTGCATGTGATTATACATGAAAATACAGGTATGTTTTAACTTATGTTTCTCAGGTAATGACATCAAATAAGAAAAGACCAAACATGTGGGAGGGAGACTCCCTTATGCTAGCTGCTCTTTCCCTTTGATTTGCAAATAAAGTCCTCCATTTAAAGTAAATATGGATGTGATGCTGACTTAACCATTAACTAACTTTTACACCTGCCTCTCAGAGTTCAGAGAATGGCCTCCGATTAGTTTGAGTCTATTACCCTTCGCTTGCTATAGGCTATAAGCAGGTGTAGCAACTAGTTCTTAAAGGGGCATGATCTAATTACTTTCATTTAATCGAAGTGTTTGATGTCTTAGTTGGTTTTGCTCTATTAATGAAGTATCTATGTAAATACCATTCAGCACAAGAGTCAGTGAAAAGAAAGACACACATTTAACCATCAAATCTGAACTCTACATTAGCTTTAAAGAAAATAAGAGAATCTCAATAACATATGAACAGGCAAAATAAGCTTCTTAGACAAAAGAATAACCATCAAGCTGATATCTAATGTTTCTTCTGCAGTACTGAACATGAGGAGGCAAATGATCATCAACTTTCAAAATGTTTTAAAGGGAAAAGGTTATGTTCAAATAACTAAAACCCTGGCAACTGTCTTAAGACACCTGAGATTTCAAAATAAGAATCAAATAACATAATCTTTATTATATTTATTAAAAAAAAACAAACCTGAAAACATTTTCTTAGAAATGAGCAAGCTAAAGGGCTCAGCCTGTAAAAAAATGAGTAGTGATTATAGCCAGCTATAAAATAAAGATTTGATTATTTTTGATGGAATAGGGCCATTCCACAAGGAGACATTCTTGCTTACTTTCTATCAAAAAAAGTGTATGTCAAAAAGAAAAAAAAATATTACCAACAAAAAATCTGAAGGTCATGTAATCAATGAAAAAACAGGAAGCAAGTAACAAAAAGAGGGTGAGACATGTCAGATAAGGAGTTAATTTTCAAACTGTACGAAGAACTTATACAACTCAACATCAGTAAAATATCTAATTAAAAAAACAGGTAGAAGAATTAAGTATACACTTCTCCAAGAAAAACAATGATGGCCATAGAACAATTGAAAAAATGTTCAATATCATTTACTATAAGAGAAATGCAAATCAAAACCACAATGAGATATCATATCACCATGAGAATGATCCATATCAAAAAGATTGGAAACAACAAACATTGGTGAGGTTGTGGAGAAGAATGAGCCAGTCTGATGCACTGTTGGTAGGAATATAAAATGATACAGTCTACATAGAAAACGGTATGGAGCTTCCTAAACGACTAAAGCCCACGGAGCTGTATTGATCCCGCAACACAACACCACTCCTGGATATTCACCCACGGGGCACGAAAAGACTTATGAATGTTCTCAGCAGCATTATTCACAAAAAGCCAAGATGCAACCAACTTAAATGTCCATTGACAGACTGGATAAAGAAATTGTTGTATAAATATTCAATGGAATTTTATCCAGCTATTTAAAGAAAAAAAATATTTCTCCCAACTGGGAGAACATGTGATTTTGAGGGGATTATGCTAAGTGAAAAATTTAGAAAGTAAATGACCATTACAAATGGTTTCACTCATTAGTGAAATATAAATAAAGAAAACAAACTGGCAAAGAAAACAGAAATGGTTCATAGACTGAGGGAAAATAGAGGCATTACCAGAGTAAAGCAGGAGAGGAGGGGTAACACAGTTTTATTTTATCCAGGGAGCTTTGGGAGGGTGAGGGAAGCATATGCACACTCTGAGGTGGGAGACTGTATATTCCCCAAATTATATACTTATGTTAGCAAATGACAAATCAGTAGTTTGAAAATATGGTAGAACACTGGGCAAAGGGGCAGAGACAGTTCTCAGGCCTGCCCTTAGTTACCTGATGGTCCGTGAATTACACTACACGCCACCAACCACGACATCCTCTATAACCATATGTTAACTGGAAAGTTCATTCAAAATTCTAACATGAAATGTTAAGAACATAACTTTCTCTTTTATGGAAGCTTAAGAATGTCTCATTCCTCCTTTCCCTCACTTGCTGTAACTAGTATTTACATACCCCTAACTCCGAAGTAATGGCAGTACCTGAGGCTAGAGGAAAGCGGGACTAACAAGGCACTGGAAGGTAAGCTGGAGAGTGGAGACTAAAACACCTGCAAGAAATCAGAGCCCTCGCTGCAGCCATTCGGAAACCCTGGCCTTTGTCTTTCTATTTTTTTGTTAGATTTCAGGAGTATCATGCCAATATTGTACAAATTTTGAATTTATAAATACCCCACCTTGTTAGACTTTTCTACAGAATTTTTCCTATTCTCCCCTCTATATATTTCCTTCTCTTAAATCACTTTAGGGAAATAATGACACATAAGTACAAATTAGGAAAATTATATTTCTATGAAAATCAGTCCTTAACTGTAGTTGAGGGACCAGAGGACATTACATAACAAGCAAACTGTGATTCTACCTAAAGACTATAAAGAAAGGGCAAAGTGAAATGTAAATGTCAGGAAGGCAAGGAGCTATGAAGGCTGAGGCATAATGGAATATGCAGGAAAAGAGCTCAGAAAATCACATTAGAAAGGAAGCTTGGTTCAAGTCATAACCAGAAACAAATGGTCTTGGAGTGGCAATATTAACAAGTATACTGAGTAGAAATGCTAGTAACATTTCTATCATTTTAATAATCTAATTGAAATATATAATCAAAAGACCAATATCTAAATTTTTATGTATTTTTAGATCATGTACTTTAGATCCTTTACTTCACTAGGATCACTTTGAGATTGTACCTCTGCAAATATTATTCCTCATGATTTTTTTAAGAATCCCATCTATTATTTCAACATCTAATTAATGTGGAAATACCAATCATCCCATAGGGAAAAACAAAAAAACTTTGTCAAGATGCATTTTTCTGAGGTTCAGAATGTACATAAAAGATATGTAAACACAGGAATAGCCTAAGAATTGCCCATAAGAATTAAATTTCAAAATTTTGTAAAATAATTTCATGACTGTGTATATTATACAAATATATTAAATTATATTTTCTATAACTGCTAACCTTTTTTGTATTAAATAATAAAGTCTATAAGTATTATGGCCACATTTTTAGCAGATAATGTAACTGTATTATACATTATTACTGTTTCTTTCTATGATTATATTAATAATTAACTGCTCAATATGAGTCTTTTTTTGAAGTCCTACTTATTAAGTTACCAACATGTTGAATCAGTCATATTGGATTTATTACAAAGTCGAAATGGAATCAATTTCCTATTGTCAGTAAACAAATATTGTTGTCAATAAAATCAAATAGCTTAACATAGTTTATACTTTCTTTAAAAAAATACTATCAAATCTTTCTCACAATAGGATATGATGAATTATATGGAGTACTAAAAAGATTTATTATATAGGAGGGTAAGAAGTAAGATTAAACTTAGTGTCAAGTAAGATATACTCCAGGCTCTATCTCCTATGAAGCTTTCTAGCAACTGATGTTTCACACAAATATTATCAGAGATTAAAGGGAACCCTGTCTTCCTCTTACATTATCATCTGTAATTACTTTTAATGTAGTAAATAAATACTGTAATTGTGAAATGTTTTTTGTTGTATGTGAGCAATACAGAAGGGTAAGAGATAAGATTTCACTTCTATAATAATAAAACATAGCACATAAGAGAAATGAAACATAATAGCCTGTGTGCACCATTGCAAAACATGTACTCCAAACAATGATGCCAGCATACTGACCACTCATCATTAAAACATGCAAGTAGGCCCTCCCTGGTGGCGCAGTGGGTTAAAGCACAGCACAAAGAAGCTTAAGCCACTTCCTCATGAGTTCGATCCCCACCTGCCCCGGAGGAGATCCACATGGTGCGGCAGACCTCTCCTGACCCGCCCACTGCTCCCCTCAGCAGTGTACTTCATTGATCTGCCTGTTCTGCTCCCCGCTCTGTCTCTGGTGAATCCTCTCGCCCTCCACATCTCTGGCCTGTACCCCAGTTCTATATGAATAAATAAATAAATCTTAAAAAAACAAACAAACATGCAAGTAAATCTGCTTTACTTTATTTCTCAAAAGTCAAACTATTTTTAAATTGAAAACAAAACAAAACAACCCTAGAAATATGACTGCAGAATAGAGGTTACTAGAAGGTGAGGGACGAGAGAAGAGAGGTAGGAGCAAAGCAGGCAGGGGACCCAGAAGTCTTGAATAAAGAACTCGGCTGCTTTGGTGGTGGTTGTGGTGTGATAATACAGCTGACACTATGTGAACCTATTTCCCTAAGTCATAAATAATGTAAACCAGTGTTACCTCAATAAAAAAAAAAAAATTCTGTTTATAACACTGATTTAAGCAAGTATCTGTAAAAGTGATAGTGCATCTTACTTTCTCTTGGCAAAAATTGGTAGTATTCTTCATTAATTAAAAAACATGGCTGCAACTTTGGCAAAAGGGAGATTTAAAGCATTTCTTATAATTGCATTTTTTGTCACTGTCCCCAGTATCACTTTGTAGCTTCTTATCAGTAATAACACTGCAGAAATAGACTGCCTTACCATTGGTGCTGTATCTGTATGGTGGTTATAAGGTTTTCTTTCTGTGCTGATAATACCTGTGAAAAGAAAAGACTGTAAATATCTGCTTATTGGATGCATCCATTTTATTCTAGAAACATTTAAGTCTGTAATATGTAATTCCTACAGTATATACAAGGAAAGAAGCTTCTTTTTGATGGCAGGATCCTTCAAGTTTCACCATGAATTCATTGATCAGAAACAGTCCAAGAGGTTAGTTTACTAAGAAACCAGACTCAAGGTTAGTTAAGCCAACTTTCCCATTCCAGTGCTGTGTCCAGCAACAGCACAAGATGTGTCGATATCCTGCTTGGGCTCTAAAATTCTACCATTATGTCTGCTCTGCTAGATTGCTTCCATAAAAGTTTCATTTCTTACTTGGGGGTCACTAAGATTTCATAAAAAGGCAACAGAAGGAATCAGTGCTTTATTTTCTCAAAAGAAATAAACAAGTCTATTTGAATTTCTCTTTGATCATTTGACTTCCTACCATGACATATTCTGTCATCTATTTAATCACCATGGGGCATGTGAAGAAAAAGGTTACCCTGATTCCTTCCTTTAAAATGATATTGACTGCTAAACTTGAGAAAAAATTCTTTTATCATGTATGGATTTATCTTTTTGTCCCCCCATATCCTCTACTGAATTTTCTTACAAAAAGCAGCCTCTAAAAATTTAACACATTGCATCTCATCTATGAAAAAGATACTAGTTCAAAGTGTGGCTCAAGGTAAAAAAAGGACACAGATAAGGGTCTCACTTATATAACCCGGTTATCAGATCATTAAGTGATTAGAACACTGGAATAGTTCAAATTATGTTAAATGTTGTCACAAGAGAGGTGGTTATAAATGAGAACTGCAATGTGTTGTTAGTGACAACTGCCAAAATTCATAGTTGTAACAAAATACAAGTTTCTCTCATTTACACGCATTTAACTAAATTTCTTAAAGTTTGATAAGGGATTAAGCTGAGATAAACATAAAATCATTTTCACCACTTTGCAAACATATATTCAAAATGAACAAAGTACATGATTTTAAAACAATGTAGTTACTGTTTTATTAAAAGGGGGAAAAAATTTCTCAACCATCAACATTACTCCGATACCAAAAGAAGACAAGGACATCATAAAAGAAACTATAGGCCAATATCCCTGGTGAACAAAGATCCAAAATGCTTCAACAAAATCTTAGCAAATAGAATTCAACAATGCATTAAAATGCTCAGACATCATGATCAACTGGTATTTATTCCAGTGATACAAGGATGATTCCATATTCCAAAAACAAAGTAACTCACCACATCAACAAAATGAAAGATAAAATCATATTATCACATCAATAGCAGCAAAAGCACCGATAAGTTCACTATTCACTTTTGATAAATTTGATAAATGGATAAATGGAGATAGAAGTACACACTTCAGCATAATAAAGTCCACATAGGACAAAACTACAGCTAAATATCTTATTAGATGCTGAGAAACAGGTTTACCTCTAAGATCAGGTACAAGACAAGGCTGTCCAATTTCATCACTATCATTCAACATAGTATTAGAATTCCTAGAAAAAGCATTTAAGCAAGAGAAAGATTAAAAAAAGGAAGCCATACTGGGAAAGAAGTAAAACTATTACTATTTGCAGATGGCATGATAATATACACAGAAAACCCTAAGGGCTCCACTAAAAACTATTAGAAACAGTAAATCAGTAAAGTGGCTACAAAATCAATTAAAAAAAATTGGTTGTATTCCTATATGCCAACAATGAATTGGATGAGAAAGAAATCAAGGACACAATTTCATTTGCTATCACATTAAAAATAAATACCTAATAATAAACATAACAAAAGAGGTGATGGAATTGTACAATAAAAACTGGGAGATATTATTGAAAGGGATAGAAAAACAAGGAGAAAAACTCAAAGAAAACTATTTCCTGCTCATGGCCTAGAATAAGTAACATTATTAAAATGGCCTTCTTATCCAAATCAATAAACATATTCCTATGAAAAATACCTATTACAATATGTATATTTACATATCATTAATTCAATATACATATGAAATACCTATCAAAAACTCAATGGGATTCTTCAAAGAAATAGAGCAATTACCACTGTAATTGATATGGAATCACAAAAAGCCCAACTAGCCAAAGCAATTTTAACAACCAAAAAAAAGAGTTATCACACTCCCAGACTTCAAACAACACTATTAAGCTATAGTAATCAAAATAGTACTTATTGGAGTAAAAACAGACATAGAAACAATGTAATATAATTGAGAGCCCAGTAATAAACTTACACTTTTGTGAGCAAATAATCTATCACAAAGGAGTCACAAGTACGAGGTGGAGAAAGGAAAATCTCTTGAACAAATGGTGTTGGAAAAATTGGACAGCCATAAACAAAAGGAAGGAATGAGAATACTATATTACTCTACATACAAAAATAATTTCAAATAGATCAAAGACTTAGACTTAAGACCTGCAAACAAATATCAATACATAGGAAAAAACATAAGCAATATACTTCATGACAATGACTTCATGGTATCTTTGGGAACTTAACTACAACAATAAAGCAACAAACTATACCAAGCTACAAAACTTCTGCACAGTGAAAGAACTAAGACACTGACCACATGGGAGGAAATATATTTAAACATTAAAGATCTGACAAGGGGAGATACCTAAGGTTTACAAAGAACTCATGCAACTCAACAAAAAGAAATAATCCAGTCAAAAAGTGGGCAGAAAGCTAAATAGACACCTCTCTAAAAACATACAGGTGGCCAACAGGCAAAAGAAAAAAATGTTCATCACTTGTCATCAAATCAAAACCACAGTGAGATACCACCTCACACTAGTGAGACCAGAAACCGTAAGTGTTGGTGAGGGTTTGGGGAGACAGGAACCCTTGTACACTGTTGGTGGGGGTGTTGTTTGGTTTAGCTCCTATGGAAAACAGTATAGAGATTTGTCCAAATAGTAAAAATAGATCTACCAGATGATGCAGCAATTCCTTGGTATCCGTATGGAGAATTCAAAAAATAAACAAACAAAAAACAAAACCAAAAATCACTAATTTGAAGGGATATATGCACTGGTGTGTTCACTGAAGCACTATTTACAACAAATTATGGAACCAATGTGAATGACATATGAGTGAAATAATGATGAGATGTGTATGTGTGTATGAATCCCATATATACATGTTTTCTCTTATGTATGTGTGAACACACACACGCACACTCACACAAGGAGTGTAGTATTACCCAACAATAAAAAAAAGAAATTTTGCCATTTGCCACAATATGGATAAACTGAAGAGGATTATGCTAAGTGAAATAAATCAGAAGACAGACAAATATCAGGTGCTTTCACCAATATGTGGAATACAGAGAAACAAAAAAGGGAGCAGAACAAGCCAACCAAAACTAACACTAAAATCTGAGACAGAACTGAGGCTGCCAGGTAGGAAGGTAGAGGGAGGGGGCAAGATGTGGAGTGAGTCCAATGGTTTATGGTGGAGGATGAAGCATACCTTGGTGGTGGTTCTGGTGTGGTAACAAACAGCAGAAGAGGTGTCAACCTATACCTCCAAATCATAGATGGTGCTGTATACCAACATAACCTCAACAAAAAAATAGTACAATTTAAAAAAAAAGAAAAACCAGCAAACATTTTCTGAATCTCTATTTTTAGCCAATGAAGTGTAATATACTCTACTACCTTCATTCAACAAACTGATATCCACTGAGTGCCTATTTGGCAGTGATAAAAAAAATAAGTTTGAAAGGATAAATTACGCTTTTGATTAAGTGTAAAACACATGTCCTTTTTTTTTATTTTTTGAAGAAATGCTACAGTGCAATTTAGTAATTTGTCTTAAAGTTTTATAGGTCATTTTTGATGGAAAGACAGATTTTTGTTCATAAACTAACACTGGGATTGACTTTAAATATATTTTAAAATTCAGTTAATTCATAATAGAAAATATTCAAACAATGCCAATTCTTATTGTAAATTCTTAATAATACTGAAGCATACAGAACAAATAGTGAAATCCTTACATCCTCAGGCTCCACACTCCTACATACTCTAGCAGCAACCATTGAGAACAATCTGGCAAGACACACTGACTTTTGAGTGAGAGTTGCTATACAATGGGTTTAAGAATTAGTAACATCTCACTATTACAATCTGATCACTGTAAAAATGGCTTCAGCTGATTACTAATTTAAAATTCTTATCCAATTAGAAAGTAACTTCAGGGCCCTCCCTGGTGGCGCAGCGGGTTAAAGCACAGCACTAAGAAGCTAAAGCTACTTCAGCATGAGTTCAATCCCCACCTGCCCTGGAGGTGACCACATGGCGCAGCAGACCACTCCTGACCTGCCTGCTGCTCCCCTCAGCAGTGTACTTAGTCGATCTGCCTGTTCTACTCCCCACCTGTCTCTGGTGAAGCCTCTCACCGCCCCTACACCTTTGGCTTATACCCCAGTTCTGTATGCATAAATAAATATTTTTTTTTAAAAAAGAAAGTAACTTCAAAATTAAAAAAATAAATTAAAAAAATCTAAATCCTCAGGTTGTAAAATTACCAAAAAAAAAAAAAAAAAAAGCTACGTATTTTGCCATTTCAATTTCGGTATAAGGGTGTGTTCAAAACTAGCATTTTCTTAAGTTGATTATCCAAATATACAATCTTTGTTTTAAATTTAGATTACAAATTGAAACATCACTTGTAATACATACATATTTGCATGTATACAAGTTTTTCAAGATTTGAGTATGAACAAAGGAGAACACGTTTAAGGAATAACGTTCCAATTTTGAGATCCTATTTTAAGCAGGTTTTATTTACAAAATTTTTGTTTGGTATTTTATATCACTTATATTAAGGTATAAAGCCATGTGCAAGCTCACAAATAGCTTACTGTAGTGGTTATTTTTTAAAGTGTCAACTTAGCTAGGTGCCAGGTATCTAGTCAAACATTATAGGTCTCTGTGAAGGTATTTTTATGGTA